ATTGAGATGCATAGGTAGATCATAATACTTACACATGGCTGGAGATACTGACTGACACTAGGACAATGGAATCCTTTGAAGAGGGGCAAAGTTTTCTCCTCTAAAACTTAATTGTCCCTCTATAATGCTTAAAGATAGCCTTAAAAGATAAGGTGTCCCAGAGGATGAACTAATTTGGCTCCTAACTCTCTCTCTCCCTATAGTTTCCAAGATAGGATAGGCTGAAGGTGGAGAGACACTTAAATGGAATATCGGGAGTGTAGTTTATATTGTCAAAAAGTCTAATAAACTCTTAATTTTGGGATGGAATTTAGTTTCTCCCTCCTTCTACTATTACTTACTTCTCTAAAAACAAAACAAAACAAAAATCCGCCACAAAATGCTACAGGATTAAATTGCTGATCTCTCAGTAATAAGGAAGACTATGCAGTAATAAGGAATTTCTGTGCTGCCTTAGTTACAAGCTCTTGCGCATATTCATTATGATGCTGTTACTCCTTAAGTAACTAAAAGCTGTATTTTGCACACAGATCTTCCCCTTTTTTCCTTTAGAGAGTAGCAGAGCATTACTTAAGGACTCAAAAGCAAGTCCACAGAGAGTTTCATTCACTGTGTAAAGAAGATGTGCACTGATGAACAATGAAGCAGCGCTGCAGAGACCTGGGATATAAAACCTCTCATGTCCTTGCCACAGATTCCTACTATTGCCTGAAACAAATAATTAATAATCTTCCTAAGGGTTGCTTGTGATGTTATTACTTCTTGTCCTATTTGGAGCACAGGGAAGATAAGTCACTCAAGAGAGTTCAACACCCTTATCCCCATCTCAGTACAGAGCCTGGATGATACAAGATATGCAAGCACAGTATATAGCCAAAAAAGGAAAAAAGGCTAAACTTTCATCCCATGTCATGTTTGTCATCACTGAACACTGAATAAGGCAGGCTCTAAAGATAAACAGTATCCACGAATGTCATAAAACATTTTGTCAAAATGCAGACACAAAAGTTGCTGAATTAGCATTGGCTTTTCATAGCTTTGGCATCTGTGGAGTTGCAGCAAAGCTCTTTGAGCATAGAAAATTCTGTGATGAGTGCTGTGCCAAATTGCTCCTGTCACTAAAACCAGCTTCAGTTTGCATGTGTTGTGCAAAGTGCCTGAAACTAGCTGCAAAACAACGGTGGAAAATTCTGTCTGTAAATGGCCAATTTCTGCCTGTGAAACAATAACAATAGTTTCTATGCCTTCAAGTAACAACTTCCACGCTCCTTTTTCCTTTCCAAAGACCACCATCCACCAAAGTGGAAGGAGTCTGAGGAACACACTAGTGAGAGAACAACTTTTGTTTTGCAAGTGAACGAGCACTTCTTAATTCACAGCATATTCTTGCCGTAGAAAGATAAATATGAAGCAACCACAGTCTTTGCGCCCAGGCTCATCGAAGAGTCTATCTTATTTTGTATTTTAATGTTTTAATTTTTTTTTCAGTATGTACAGCAAGAAATAACAACTTGTGTGAAAGTCTTTAATTCACCATTCTGATCCTCTGTTCATTTGATGCAGTGTTCTTAGCAGCTCCATTTCTTGTAAAAAAGATTCAACCAAAGAAAAAATTTATTTGGTTTTCAGTGCAGTAACACATTGTTCATTTAGATTTCTAATAGATTTTTCTATGTGAAAGTGCTGTCAGCGTTCTCAGTAAGAGCTAAACAAGATACTTAACTGCTGTAACATTTTAGAAACATTATAATATAAACATACGTTTCTGGCAAGCCAGTGCTGTATTCACATTCCCCTTTTGACTGAAGAACTGAACATTTCTATTTTTTTTCTTGAAATATATTTACATAAAAGACATTTTCGTTGAGCAGTATGAGCCAAATCCTAGTTATCTGTTTGGATCTTTTTCGTTACTTTCTACATCCATCTAGTGGACACCACACAGTACCACAGGATAAGATTCCTGTCACAACAGTGATGTGCAGGTCTTGCACATACCTGTAGTTATTTGGTGGTGCAAACCACAGGGACTGTCCCAGCTGATGAAACTGCAGTTTTAGCTAACAGACTTCTAATAAAAAAAAAATAAAAATCATTATTTCATAATCTGACAGTGATAGCATTCATAGAAGCCTTAGTTTCTGACTGGGAGAAATAACACTAATAATAAAATATTCATATCATGTCCACAAAAGGTGAGTGAAGAAAATAAAACAAATCTGCAAACAATACCATGTTTCTTTAATCCAATAAAGTACCTTATGATCAGATGAATAATTAAATCTAATTTAAAAGAAACCAATAGTTACTCATTCAAAATTTTCTTACTGTAAGACAGACTTATCTTTACCTTCATTTATTTATCTTCTACTTTTAATTTTTGCTTTAGACATTTCTGAGTACTTTATATATGTTTGAAATGATACTGACATTGCAGAAGTTAGTCTTATTGAGCACAGGAGTAAATAATCCTCTTCTGTTTTTACCTAAAATTGCATGAAAGAGCTGCACTCAACAGAAAAACAAAACATACAAACTGTGTATTGTTTAGGAGTCTGTGTATTTTCACAACTGTTTAAAGAAAAAAATAGTAATTAGGCAATAAAATAGAAGTGTCAGGAGAATTTGATACAATGAGCTCACAGATGTTGCAAACCCTTCACTGATATTGTGAGGATTTTGTGCTCCTCGAATAGCCAGGCATTCCAACTCAAAAGATACTGATTGTTAGTGAATAATAGTAGTCATGCTAGTAGTAATGGCAACATGGTTGTTAAAAGCAGAAGCTGCAAAGGATTTTTTAGTAGTATTTATGCTATCAGGCTATTTCCAGTATGCTTGCTTTCTTCTTTTTTTTTTTTTTTTTTGTGTGTGCAGATCTCACAATGACCACAAAGATGCAAGGAATAGGGAAAATGAAAGGCGAAGATGAGCTTTGCATTGTCCAAGATCACCACACAGGCTGTGGCAGAACTCTCATTTGATGTCTTATGGATTAGCTTTGTTAGTTTGAGATAGATCATGTCACATAGTAGCACATTTAAGGACACACTAAAAATATTCAGGCATAATCAAAAGAAATCAAATTTGGGAACAAGTGTATGTGTTAGGATTTGCTGACAGTGAATTGTTCTGAAAACTACAGTGAAAAGAGGATTAAATTGCTAAGCTTGGTTGATTTCTTTTTAGTAATGTTTTCTGAACAGTTAATAAAGAAAAAGTTTGCTTTTCTGCATTCAAACAGTGAAAAGTGAGTACATAATAAATTATATCATCTGAGAGCAGTAGAAACCTTGCAGTTTCAGGAATATGTCAAAGTAACAATGAAACAATGGAATAAAACATGAAACCAAGGTCCATTCTGTGCCAGGCAATGTACATCTCTGTCAAAACAGGCAATAAATGTTTCTTTGATTGGTTCATTTAACAAAGGAAAAAAGGCCATTGGAATGCTGTCTCTTCAGTAAAACATAAAGCCACAACCTCTCTGCAACCTTCGGTCACCGGTAGATAACAGAAAGAAACAAGCTAGTGCAGACAGCAGCATGTACCTACTGTGACTCCTGCACCAGGCTGAAGTTTAATCAACAGCTGACAAGTACTGAATATTTTCTCTTCTGCTGTCATTAGATATAACTGAAAACTAGTGGGTGTCCTTCACAAAAACACTGGTTTCAAAATTAGTACTTTAGATAGTTCAATGTATAGATACTATGATACTAACACTGACTCATGTTTAAAAAATAATGTGAAAGATGATCTGTTCATTCTTCACCCCTAAATGCTGTAGCAGTATTATTTAAGTTCCCATTAGTATGGCAAACAAGCCCAAATAGTTAGAAGCCAAGGCCTCATGCACATCTTTCCTACTGTGCTGTAAAGCTAAACTGATCTTTGGTTTTATAAACACAACCAAGTAGGAAAACAGAAGTAATCTTCACCTTCTGGCTGGATAAAATGTGCTTCATCCCACCAGATGGAGACATAACCTTGCTAAGCCACACATTTGTAACCTCTGAGTCTGCATACCACAACACATGAAGTCTAAAAGCAGAGCCACATGCTCCAAAAAGATTCCATATGGTACCAAACGCAGCTGTCGGGCTGCTAAGCAACATGGGTTGCCATGAGCACATCCTCTCAGCACAGCCAACCCTGTGCTAGTTTCTAATTGATTGCAGACTCCCATTCAAGGTCTTTACACTGATTTTAAAAAGCCCTTTGTGGAAATGTAGCAGACTACATGAAAGAGCATCTTCTCTCTCCTTCTCTTTCTTTCTCTGCCCTTGCCCTTCAGCCTCTCATGACGGCGGTGTTCCCTCCCAGTGATAAGCCTGTTTACCTCTCTTAATACCAAATACAATAACTAGAAGTGCTGGATCTAAACTACCTAATTCAAAGACATGAATGGGCACAGGAGCTGTGCTGCTTGACAGTGAGCAAGGAATTCATTACTTTTATATGCTTGTAAAATAGCAACTATAGTACATGCAGACATGCCCAAGCACACACATACATCTTAGCCCCACACCAGAGCTTTGTTTATTAGGATAAGACAAAATACGTACTTGAAATACTTAGGTAGTAATGAAATATTAGGGTCAGGTACTCAATAACAAAGGAGGCCTCAGTTGCCTGAACAGTGGGAAACAGGATAATGAGGGTCTAGCTCAAGAGACATGGGGCCCAAGGGAGAAAACAATGAAACTTCATGTTCCCTCAAGTATAGAGCTCACAGATCTCTGCATGCAGAGAAGCATAATATTCCCTGTACTCCCAATAGTGATTTTTCTGTACAAAATTTATTTTCCTTCAGAGTTGTTCTTTTTGGTTGTCATCAATTGTAAAGTGTAATTTGGTTTAGCAGTGGACTTGACCAGGTCTTTGTTTACCCATTATTATCACAAAGCAACTACCTAATGATAAATTTGTCAGAAGAGTTTTTATTACTTTCAAAATTCTTATGGCAATGGCATAAATCTTTTTATTTCTTTTTGCAGTTTTGATGTAGACAATGGTACATCATCGGGACGAAGTCCCTTGGATCCCATGACAAGCCCTGGATCAGGGCTAATTCTTCAGGCAAATTTTGTCCACAGTCAACGTAGGGAGTCTTTCCTTTACCGGTCAGACAGTGACTATGACCTGTCTCCAAAGTCCATGTCCAGGAACTCCTCCATTGCCAGTGATATGTAAGTACATTATAAAATGCTTTTAGCCTATGTTTTGTCCTGTCATATGATTTCTCCAGCCACAAGAAATTTCCTTTAAAAATCAAAGACAGTAATCACTTATGTTACTGAAGTAATGGATAATTGCTTGTTTATTTCTTTACTGAAGCTTGTACTTGTTTTTGCAGTATTATGAAAGTAAGGATATCATAAGGGTGTACTTGATGTGTTTATGCTTTGACAGAATAGTGAAAACAGTCAATACTATTGTATCCAAACACTAAGGAGAACTCTGATTTCCTGGCTATTAAGTTCTTTTCAAGAGACGTGATATAAACTCTATTTTTGCTTCTTAATGTTCTTAGAAAACAATTCCATTTATTTGCACCAGTTGTTCTTAGACTTTTGGAGAAAAGATTTACCAGCTGACAGAAATTAATAAATTTAAGAGAAGCAAAAATTACTTCAAATACCCTTTTAAGTAAAACGTGAAATGTTAACAATCTTTTGGAAAGTTATTGTCTCTCACTGTTCTTCTCTGTTGTGTGTTGGGTCGTATTTTTCAAGTATGTGTGGACCCCAAGTTGCATGGGTAGTGGAAGTCAATTGCAAATCTCTGTTTATTTGTAAGACATGAAAAACATCTTAGATGTCTTAGCTTCTAGGCACTTGTAAGTAGTAAAAATGAAGAATAACTAATCAGTTTGTTTGTTTGTCTTACCTGCTTCAAATTTCACTGCCAAGTAGGTGTTTATGGTTCAATTATAAATCACTATAACACAAGGACCAGGCTTGTAAGAGTCCCCTAGGGTGCAAGAAGGTCTAAAGCATTAAAAGTCCAGTGTTAATTTAAAACCTGTTTTTTAATGAGGCAACACCTGGTCTATATGCTCTTTTAAAAAATAAGAGCACAAACAACAAAGGAAAAAGGTTTTCATAATAATGAGTGAAATTTCACCTGATACTTCATTTGCAGTCATTATATTTGAACACTCCTATTTTCAGCTTACATACAATTTTTAGAAATGTTGATAAGGCCGTCTAATTATAGCTCTCTTTCTATGTAAGTGTCAAGATGAGAAAATTTCATGCCTTTACAGAGGGTTTGTGTAAGGTCCATACCTAAGTTAAGCACGTAGACTGAGGAACTTGGTAAGCTTTGTGCCCAGTGTGACTGATTTTGGTTGAGACAAAATGAGTAAGAAAAAGACCAATCCATGTTGCTTTGTCATAAATAAAAACGCATTTTACTTGGAAATAGTGACCCCCTTCCAGAAAACTCTCCACTGACAGATAGTCTTTCTTTTAGAAGGGCTAGAGTCAAGCTTTTAGTATGGCACCTGTGCCAGGATACCATTTGGAAAGATTTTTACCTTCGGGGGGACAATCCAGGTCATTGTGTTGCTTAGATGAGTCATTTCAATTAAGAATTCAATTAGTGCTCCATCCTTGAACTCATAATCCACTTCTGCATTTCCTAGAATTCTGGGTAATATTTCAGCACATGGCAGTAAATTGGATAAACAATTGAATTACTGAAACACTAAGCACACTTCTTTCTTGGATACTTGTATCTATTCTTCCTTTGAGTTTTTTTCTTAAAACACATCTGCGTATAAAATTTATTTACCTCATGTCTGGATAAGTTTTCACAGTCTCCTGTCACAAAGGAGCTGTTGTTCTAAGAAGGTAAAATATTCCTGCTACTGCTTAGGATGGGGGCACATTAGGAAGTGTAAGAGGCAAGTTGTTTTAACAATGGAATATTAATCATATATCAGTAAGCCTAATTATAATAAGCTTGATTATATCACAGAAATGAAGTAAAAGAAAACCAAGGAATGAAAGAGAGAAAAGTTTAAAAAGATGAAATTGCAAGGAAAAGAAAATACCATGAAGTTTATTATATATGGCTTCAAGGAGAATCTGGATGTGCTCCTAGAAAGGAAACCCACTGAAAATCACTAAAAAATAGAGAAGCCACTCTGGTTCAGGACATTTCTAAATGAGGTAGAGGCTGGAAAAGTTGTCAAGACAAGTATCACACAAATTTTAGATTACTCACAAATTATCCTATTTCCCTATAGCCTATTCCCTACATGGTTGATTTTCAGTATTGCATGTTTCTTAAGCATGAGCTAAAATATATTACAAAACATACACATCATCCAGGTACTGCAGGTGAATTAATGTTACACAACAGTTTAACCTAGAATTCTCTCATTCTTCAGTGCTTGAGTTACCAACCTCTATATTTCACTTTGTAAAGTAAAAACAGAAAGCAGAAGGCATGCATCTTGTATTTGTAAGGAATATAACATAAAGATTTTCTGACATTGACAGTAATACATTCCACTTCAGTAGCAGCAGATGAAACAAAAATAAAACTTCAAGTTTAGTCAAATATGGAGTGTTGTGATAAAAGACAGCCAGTGGATGGCAGTGCTAAAGTACCAAACTCATCATTTGGTCATTATTTATTATTTGTGCAGCTCTAGCCAAGGAAGGGAATACAGTCGTGCTCAGTTCTTTGTGAACCCAAGATGAAAAGATGGGCTTTGCCAAAAACAACAAGTTGAAACGTAAGATAATAACCAAGAAACTAATACAGTTAGATGCTATCCCCAGGCAAAGGTACAGCATGAGTCCCTATGCCCAAAGTAGTAAACCTCACAGAGCAACCAAAGGGAGTTTCATTCAGTGAGCTGAGATGGAAAGTAATAGAAACAAGGGCAGAGAAGAGGGAGGTCGAAAGTTTTTAAAAATCAGATGCTAAGTATATTTTAAAGTGAGGAGCCAGATTAGCTGTGGGAAAGAATAAAAGTCAGGATGAGTGCAAGGCTGCTGAGATGAGAGGAGGTTAGTTGGACAAATGTGGGTGCAGTTATGGCATTAGAAGAGGCAGAAATAGCAGCCGTACAGAAAGAAAAGAAAAACAAATTAAGGAGTGGGAGTCAGTAACTGGTTTTTAGGTTTTTTTGTGTTGTTGGTTTTTTTTTTTCCCCCAGTTATTTCTTAGAAGCAATAGCACAGTCCTAGTAGACAAAAAGCAGGACATGGAGATGATATGAGGAGAGTCAAGGCTGTGAACTGTAGAGGCAGGTGGTTTAGATAGGAAGATGCAAAGTCCAAGGCAGAAGGGCACAGATGTGTGTGAAGCCCGGCTATGGGTTTCCAGCAGAGAGATGGGGACGTTCAAGAGAAAAAGAAGTCAATGAGTGAGCGAGTGGAGATGAGTGAGCCAGTATAGGGAATTACAGGGCAAGATCTGTGATGAGAGACAGGAAAACAATCTTGTAAGGAAGGAGAATAAAGAATGGAAACTTTTAAGTCCCCAACAGCACTGTGGCAACAAAGGGAACAGAAGCTAGCTGAAAGATGAGCAAAATCAGCAGTGCTGTATTGGAAGAATTGTCAGGTTTACTTTTGAAGACATCAGTAAAGCAGGGAACTTTGTGGATATCTTGCAGAGGAGGCCTGATTACATAACACTCACCTGCTTGAGCTGCTGTTGCTTCTCAGAACTTGCAAATGCAGACAGAGGAAGAAGTGGTAACACTTTTTATGCCTTTCTTGCTAAGGGATCACTGCCCTGATTAATGAAGCAGGAGATTGAATTAGTAGAGAATCTCTGTTTTAGCAAAACCCAGGTTTCTAACCAGGTTAAGAATGGATTCTTCAATGAGATCATTAGCAATCTCATGAACACTAGAAGGAAGCCAATAAGCAGTCCACTACCTGGGGCATGTTTTAACTGTCCCTCTAAAGAGAGAAAACCATGTTAATCCCCCTGTGATCCTGAAGAAGCAGACCCAGAGTGTAGCAGACCAGACCAGAGGACCAGCGCAACCTGGGTACAGCAGTCTGTCTGAGCTCCACTAGGTCTTCTGAATGCACATAGGGAAAAAAGGTATGGGACAATAAGTGCTCCTTAAGTCTACCCTTTCCCCATTTCTACAAGGTCACAGAAAACAGCTCATATGTAACATCCTGGTCTTTCTAGGACTTGGCCAACTGAACCTCACTCAGTAAAAAGTAGCTGGTGTGGGAAGTTTTACGGGCTTCAGAGAGGCTCAGCACTGTTTCCTCAGTCAGGTGAAATACCACTATAAGCTCTAGTTAGTATAATTACGCAAAATTTGGTAATTTCTGTTAAACCTTGCTTCCATCTGTTAAGCACCAGAGCCCACTAGAGAACACTGACTGCTGGGAACTGCGGTATCATTGGCCTGGTGATCTGCCAAATACCCAAGTGGCCACCAGTACACCCATTCCCCAGACTTGCCAACCTACTGCTGTTCTGCCAATACCTTCTGCAGGTAGCAGCATGCCTCTTCTGCTGTCCATGGTAAAAGAAATGTCAAGAGGATGCAATTTACTCCAGGATTTTTCACTAGTAACTACAATATTATCCTGTCTTCTCCTAGAGGATGTGCTGCTTTGTAGACTGTAACTGAATGTACCTGTAAACTTTGGCTTCACATTAAACAAAAAAACAAACAAACAAACAGATCCTCTCTTTTTGAATAATAAAACCCAAATGTGGACTACTTTGCAATGAAAAGAGCCTCTGTAGTTTCATAAACAAAGATATTGACATACAGAGATTTGGCTGTTTTCATCAGGATGAGTTATCCCCTTCTTCAATAGCTGGAGAAATACTTGTGGGATTTTTAATTTGTGTGGGTATTTTTTTTTTCCAATTTGATTTGTGTGGTTTTGTTTTGGGGTTTTTTTTTCAAAATAAAGAGAAAATAATCTGTAATTTTACAAAGAATAAAGAATAATGGAATTATTCTGGCTGTGAAATTACCTTAAATAAAGGGAAATTCTAAGATAGGGAGTTCCCTTTTTTTGTCAGTGACTGGCAGGTCTGATACCAACCTGAAGCTGCAAGTGAGCTGAAATACTCCTGTAACAGTCATGTGGAATAGCTGCCAGAGAAACGAATTTTTGAGGTAAACTCGCTCAAATGTTTCCCAGTTCTCAACAGTCTGCTCAGCTTTTTAAAAAATTGCGTT